TTTATTTAAAACGTTTTATTGTTTTGTTAGCTGTTACTTTAAAATCATCTTTTCGGATACATTTCAAAACATCAAGTGGATATTTCAAACTTTCTTTTATAATAGTATTTTGTCCATAAAAGTATTATATAGGTATCATATTACAATACTTACAGTTTGAGGCCTATTCATACACATTGATATTATTTTTTGGAATTGTCAAGTTCATAAAATTATTGTTTTTAATATATTGCATATTATATGAGGTGTATTATATTATTAATGATTTTGATTTGTTAAATGTAACACAAAAAATGAGGTGTTATTATGCATGCAACTATATAGTAGCGCACATTTTGATATCACAATAATACCGTGATATTTTGTGGGTTCACAAATGATGTGGATTAAAATATGTTTTACCATTCAAGCATGCCTGACTCATCTTAAAATGATAATAAAATATTGTAAATGGCACATATAACTAATTAGTCATTTACTTTTAATGTTTGAATTCTGAGCGGAGGGTGAGCAGGAATATTTTTATAGTTTTCATTTTACAAATATGTGTTATTTTTTATCTTAGAAACACCTTATTTGAATAGTAAAAAGCAATCACTTATTTTTTCAAATCTTGAATATTTTTGGCTAAATTAATGTTCCGCTCAGAATTGTTTTTCAAATGCAGTGATGTTTCAATGTTTTTTTTTTTTTATTGCTTTTAATGTTTGTGCACTCAAATTAATTTTTCAATTTTATTTTATTTCATTTCGGTCCTTGTTTTTTTCTGTTTCTTTTTTTGTTTTTAGGTTTTTATTATTGTGATGGGTGTCGGCGTAAATATCGTAATATGGGAAGCTTAATTAGACATAAAAGGTACGAATGTGGTCTTCAACCTCAATTTCGTTGTGACATATGTATGAAATCATTTACTCGCAATACAACACTTAGAGATCACCGGTTCAATATGCATAACAATTAAAACTAAGTCATTTATAAACACATCTATCAATTGTTTTGATATGATGTTTTTTGATAATGATTATTATTTAAAATGATATGTTGGTTCCTTATAAACACCAATTTGTTATTTGAATTTAACTACACATTTTTCAGATTTTATTAATATATATTGTTTGATATATGTATTCATTACTTTATTAGTATTATAATAACTAATATATTATGAATGAAATTGGTTAGTACTGTTGACTAATGAATATGATGTGAGGAAAATATTTGATTATCAATATTGTTTATTAATATTAAAATGTATTTGGCATTGTTGTGAACAAGTAAACTTTTAATGCGATAAAATATATTTCAATGTTTTTAAAACTTGCATTGCAAAGATTGTATAATTTATTTATTGTTATATGAATATGATATGTTTAAAAATATTGAAACACATGTTTAAGTATTATATACAAATCTTTTTTACAGTAAATTATACATGGTAAAATTTAAATATCATGAAAACCAATAAAACGACAACAAAACTAACCCTGTGCAAAAGTATTTAGTTACCAATAATTTAAAAAAAACATTAGCTAGTTATTTGGAATAAATATTTACATTTATATGAAATAATTTATTATTTTATTAAATATTCTTGCCATTTTTAAAGTATTTAAACATAAATAATTCGTATAATAGACTGTTGATTATTTATGTTTGAAAAAAATAATTATTAATTGTTAAAAGCTGTCAATATTTTGCATTGATTATATAATGTTACCGGATTCATTTAGGTAGTATTCTATATATTTTAAATCTATTAGTTATGTTATCTTAAGTTAATCTGTTTTAAAAAGTAAATGTTTCCTTTGAGTCTTGAATTCTTGATGATTCTCAAACATGATTTAACTGTATAAAATACTTACTTAATACATTTAATGTTGTACATAAAAAATTTATTAAATAATATTTCTTATGTAAACAATCGATCCAATAATGGAATTAAGATGCAATTATTTTAATTTCAATTGATTTTCTGGAAGATGACATAATTTAAACATACCTAATAGTAATATCAGTTTTTTTTTTTGCTGTTTTATTAAACTTCCAACAAAAATCCTTTTTAATCTTACAAAATATGATAAAAATAAATACCAAAGTGTACATTTATACATTCATATATTAATAGTTTTTGTTTACTTATGTTTTTTTAAAATTTTAGTTATTGATTATATAATACATTTTATAAAGCCTTTCAAACTGTCTTGTGACTTTAATATGAGATGTTGGGAAGTGTCAGGAGAGCCACAGAACAGAAGAGGGTAATATAATAAATATCATAACTATTAACTATGATGTCAATTAATATCTTATTTTATTTAAAACATAAACAAACATTTAATTTCAGTTTTCAGTGCATAGTTATTACATTTGTTGTTTGATATTTGATGCATTTATATTTTATGGTATAAATAAATAAATATATTTCAAAGTTTAATTCATAGGTACATTTAAGCTATAGAAATACATTCATTATAGCAACTATTTTTAAATTTAAATAAGTAAATATAACTAATTATACATTTGTATTTTTCAGGTATGACATTTTCATTGGAAGAAGTATCAAAGTTAATTTTATTTAAATAAAATAAATTGCAATTAATGCTACTTTGCATAAACTGTGCATGATGTCAACAGATGACAAATTAATATATCTGTGGAGATATCCATATTTTCTATTTTCTATTTCTGATACCCATTCATCATTGTTGAGACTAGAGCATTTTACAACATTAATACTATTTAGGGAATAGCAACTGTAAAAAATACTTTTTTTTTTATATGAGAAACATGACTATAGTAAAATAGTGAATTAAAAACATTTTTTAGGAATGTATCTAATAAAAATTCAGTTGTCTACATTCTAAAATCATATAATATCACACATTAGTGTTTATTTTTATTTAATACATGTATAGATAGTGTTACACATATTTTTTCACTGTGTTTATAGCAATGAATTGATAATTGTAAATAGATGAAAATAAATCTAATAAATTGTTAGTGAAATACTGTTATACTGAGATATGATGGGTATAGTTTTTTACTTCGTAGATAAAAATGGAAATGATTAAAATCATTATTAATAACATAGTACAATATGGTAATTATTTATCTAAAAAAAAATGTATATATATATATATTATAATATTAATTATGATACATGATACAATTATGTTATATTATAGGGTTTTGATCTCCTAAAACTTGCCATTTACTTTCTCTCACCCTTGTTTTTGTCTTGATATTCACCATCTCTTTATATAATATATTTCCATGGAATATATTATATTATAATACATCATATTCTTGATAATTTCTCTTTACTAACTTTTTTTAGATTTATTTCATTTATTTTTTCGTCTATTATTTTTTGGCTATTTTTTGAACAACATAACATTTTTTCTTCATTCCTGTTTGCTTTTTATTAAAAATGTCTATCTCTCATAATTTATTATATCAACCAAATCTTTCTAAATGTTAATTTGTTTGTAATATTTTTTTAAGTATTTACTCTCTAAATTGTTATATTTAGTATAATGAATTTTTTGAGTTCATATTTTAAAAGGATTGTACAAAAATTATTACAATACTATTGAAATTATTATATTTTCAATTTTCATATTTATTATGTATTATGTCAATTATAGTGTAACTGCTCTAGGAACTTAAAAATATGGTAATACTGTATGAATAACGCTTACATAACAAAGGCTATAAAAGCTACAATATAACTTAAGTTTTAAACAGCATACTTAATATTAAACTGGAAAATGTACCTCTTCATTTTTAAAAATAACCACCTGTTTAAAAAATTTAACTTATTTGGTGTATCATTTATTACTTTTTACTAGAAGTTTAAACAAAATATATTTATTTTTATTTTTAGTACAATTGATTAAACCACACTTTTGTCCAAACTGTGGTCGGTCATATAAAAGAAGAGACAGTGTTGCTCGACATTTGAAGTACGAATGCGGTAAAGAACCTCAATTCCAATGTTTTTATTGTCCTAAAAAGTTTGCCCAAAAATGCAATCTCAAGTACCATATGTCTACTATTCATTAAATTAAGTTTTATTTTTGTTAAAAGGAATATTTATAATATGTTTTTAAAAATATTATTTTTTTTTTTTTTTTGTATTCCTATATTTCAAGTTTTATTTTTTTCTTAACTTGTTTATAAACTTTATGTGACATAACTACCTAGGTGATACTGGCAAAATTAGGCATACATTTAAGAAATATAACAAACATTTATTTGCATGTTTTTATTCATCCATTAAATGCAAAAAAAAAAAAATTAAGAAATTAAGAAATGTTTGAATTATTAAATTGTACATTTGTTTACTATGATATTTAAATATTTTTTGTATATAATATATATCATATATTTTATTGTGCTTGCAGTCTCAGATTGTATAAAAAATAAACGATATTGGTGTCCAAACAAATGCAGAAAAAGTTACAAACATAAAAAGAATATGAGAAGTCATTTTTTACACGAATGTGGAATTCCGCCTCAATTTGCTTGTATTTTTTGTACTAAAAACTTCAGAAGAAATGAACATCTCAAAAAACATTTAGCGCTTATTCATAAATTTATTGCGTAAAATTGATACAATACATTTTATCATTTGTGTTTTAGATTCTGAGCAGTCAGAAGAAACCAATTTTTTTGATCACCTAAATTGTATAAGTATTAACACTTTCCACACACTAAAATTAAAATATTAAATCTACCCTTAAATTAATAAACTGATCTCTTACTAAATAATCAATAACTTATTCTTAATTTATTTCAGCTGTTGTTGTTTCTATTGCTAAAATATTGTGTTGATTTAAATTTATACCATAGTTTGTGTATAGTATTTGTTCAATCTTGCATAACATTTTTTTTTTTTTTATTTCATTTATATTATACTAGATGACTTTAACAAGAATATTAAACAAATAATATTTTTCTAGTATTGTTATTATTTTTGTTGACATTTTTTCAGTAGTTGTTATCAACATATTTATATCAATACTAAACCCTGAAATTCATATTGTATAAAATAATGAGTGCCCACTACTTGTGCATCTATTGACAATATTGATATCAATCATTATTATTAGTTATTCAATCAATAACTATGTTAGCAACTCCTAGTAGTTGGCTAAGTACCTAAAATATCCTAATGCAATTATTCATTGAAGAAACATAAATCAATTGGAAAACATAGTTTGATACCATGAAGTGCTGTGAAAGTTTCGTGTATATCATAGAACCGAGACAAATTATATTCAGGTATGTCAAAGTTGTAAAATTAATAACGGCAGAGGAAAAATATATTTTACTATAATATTCATGCGCATGTGTATGGTACTTATAATTAAAGACTATAAGGTTGGCAACTACACATTTTTAAGCAAGAACTTGAATGTACTTTTTATTTCAGTTTCAAAATTGGAGTTTTATGTACCCACATGTAATGCCTCCCCAGACTCTTTTAAACTCTGAACGCCAAACTCAAATTCCAATAGGAACTATGCTGACCTTTTGTTGGATGGGGCCCGGTCAGTAATCCTACTTCAAAATATGATGTACCCATCTAGGGATCGAAATTGGGGAGACTTCTTTGTAATCAATGTAAGAGAAAAAAACCTTTATTGTATAATTACACACTCAATGGTGATTATAACTAACTATATGAGACAAAAAAATTATTATATCATTATATTTTCAGTAAATTCAATTTTGCACTCTTCAAATAAAATATGGAGTCTACCAATAAACTGTGGTGTACCATAATAATAATAAAAGTATAGTATGCAGGCTACAATATACATTTTATTAAATTCAGCTATTTTACACAAAACAAATAATTACATAAATAAAGATGATATAACTAAAAAAATGTAAATATGTAAATAAAATAGTATATTATGATTAAAAATTAAAAAAATTAATTGTAACTGTGTAATTCAACTAGGTTCTTCAGCAGGGAACAAACAATACAATTCTTTTACAAGCATTTTAAAAAGTATCAACTATGAATAAACTATGCTAATTTATTATAATACACCACAAGCAATACATAAACCAAATAAATTGTTATTACCTATTATAGAATTGGTTTTATAATATTAGCCATGCAGGAAGATATAATGATAAAATTCATAAAATGCATAAATTGTGTCATAATAGATATATAATACAATAACCATAATTATGTAAATATCTTAGTTATAGTAGACCACACAACATTGGTGGACTGCATACTCGTGTTTATAGTTAGGTAGTATACAAATGGCGAGAGATAGCCGATTATATTCTATTCATGTTGTAAACATTTTTGCAAACAAAATAAATTTTAAAGGGTTTTGTTAATATTTAATACAAAATATTTGATTAACGCTTATCTAAGTAATATACATTTTCTACCCTTAAAACTGAATAAATTTTTAGAAATTTTGATTTTCGATATTTACTTAAATATGACTTATTTCTATGTCTAGAACCCAAAGATTTTTGCTTGTTGTTGTTTTTGGTTTGTGTATTAATTATTATACTATGTTTGTTTTTATTCATCAAAGAAGTGCTTACACCCTGTGCTTGTACTATCCTTTAGTAACAGTCGATATGTACAAAATATGTTGACATCAGCCTATGACATTCCTATGATTTTTACCTTATGTTTTTTTTTGTTAATAGATGAAAGATGGTTGTGCCCAAAATGTGGCCGCAACTACAAACGGAAAGCCCATTTAAGTTTCCACTTGGCCAAAGAGTGCGGGGTTGGGCCTCAATATAATTGCTCGAAATGTTTCAAATTTTTCAAACGTAGTAGTCATTTGAAGAGTCACCAACTATCGTGCGGTGATGTTTCACCTAAATTTCAATGCGACATTTGTAAAAAGAAATTCACACGCAAGGACAACATGAAAACTCACAAAAACACTATTCATAGACTTTCCGATCCTAATATACCAAATGAAGTTTATGCATTTTATAGCGAATGGCAAATTGGCGATTCAGATTAACACGTAGTTAATTATATTTATAATATGTTAACTGAAACATAAATCACTTGTTTATATATCTTATTATGTATGCTTAAATACATATAATATTTGTTCATTTATATTAATGTTCAGATATATCTTATATACAATTATAGAATACAATTTAAAACTGTACCTAATACAATCAATTAAAATGTGATAATCTGCAATTTGAAATATTTGAAATTTCTTCTTTATTTGAAAATATTCTGAGAATATTATAAATATATATTTGTTTGCAGAAATTCATACACACATCAAACTACAAGATTAACCTACCAATTAATAATCAAATGGTTCCATTATATCAATAATGTTTTATGAAGAAATGGAATTAAATTATGTTTCACTAGTGGTTTTTTATTATTGAAATTTATTTAGTATTTGTTCTATATTCTACTCCAAGTAATTTCATTTTTTTTTTTCATTATTATTTAGGTATATAATGTGTTGATCAATAAATTGAGTAAGTATATGTTTACCTCCAAATTTTAATTGCAATTTTCAATGTGATTTGAAATATATTTAGATGAAGGTGAAAACATAAATATACTAGGCAGGTAATAAAATCTGTTGCATTAATAAATTATAATGTTATATAATATGTTCTTAACCTAATACCTATAAGAGTTTTTTATATTCATACAATTTATCTACATGATTAAGGAATGTATAAATAATAAACCGATATATATTTTAAAATTTATAAAATAAAATTTTTAGTTCAGGATATAAATTATAAATGTACTCAAATTTTTAATGATAAATATAATTATTAGTATTGATTTTCATAAATCAAATTTGTTGTCCTTTGATTTTGTAATAATAGTCCTATAAAAATATGCTTTTGAGTTTGAATATATTTAGTGTCTCAAATTTAGTGTGAAACAATTGATGGGGTTGAACAAGAACAAGTTCTCCTTGCCATTGTTACCACATAAAATAATAAATACTCTATATATAGTACATACTGCTTACTACCACATGTTCTATATTTTAAAACATATTTATGTAGAAGATACCAGTATACAATATGTATACTTACTCATGTACTGTAGTATAACTGTGTTGAAAATCTATTAACAAAATATTGCAATGCTTATTTACGCTTTATTAACATCAAGTAAAATTGTTACGTAATTTTTATTACTTGAAAAACTTGTTCGCTAAGGACTCTGATAATATACTAATATTTACAATTGTTACCATAAGTATTTTTTTTTTTTTTTTGTAATTATTATATTGCATATTATTTTTTAGAAGTCAGAAAAAAATCTATAAACAACACTGAAAAAAATAAAGACAACAATAAGAACACAAATAAATGTGATTTTGCCAAAAATGTTTGTGCTGTATGCTCAAAATCTTTTAAACACTTCAACACTTTGAACAAACATCTGCGCAGTCATTTATTTCCAAAAAATGTAGTTATTCATACATTTCAATGTGATAAATGTGATAAAAAATTTACAAAAGTACAAAACATGAACACACACAGAGCACTTATTCATGGAGTGTTAGAAGTGTAACAAAATTACATTTAAGTTACAACTATACTATAAATCAGGGATGAGCAACTCAAAGTTACTAGCAGGCCACTCTAAGTACTTTAAAATCTAGCGGGCCGCAGTGCATAGGAAAAAGCAAAAAAATGGTCTTTCAAATTTACTAACATTTATTTTTTATCTTTATTTATTTATATTTACAATTATTATTTAATGTGATACTTGAGGATGTGGTTTTTCAATAGAAAATTTAGTAACCTACAGTACCTACTAATAGCTAATGGCCACAGTTGCCGGGCTCAGGATCAATTAAAAAAAAAAAAAAAAAAAAAAAAAACTATACATTGAGTTTTTTTTTTGTTTGTTAATAATAAATAAATATTCATTCTCCCATAAGCTGTTAAAAATTCTATTTTTGTCTTCGATTTTATGCTTTTTGGCTGACATTTTTCAAATAATTACTACAAAACACGAAAATAATACTACTAACGGCGTGACGGTGTGACACTACGGCAGTACGGTACGTCAGGGTGACACTACGGAATAAGGATATGACTAAACCGAAAAAATGAAATAAATAGTATGTTAGCTACACCATTATAAATATATATTTAGACATTTAATAATTTAGTTTCATTTTAAAACTGGATAAGAATTTATATCCACATTTTATCAAAAAACGTAATAACATAAAATAAAATACAGATAAGCGCTAAAATTATATGAAGTCATTTGAAAATTTAGCGCGGCCCGCCAGTTGCCCATCCCTGTTATAAATTATAGTACATAGTTATATGGTTATATAACTTATATTATTATGTATTGTTATGTATTTGGTTATTTTTTTCTCATTATATAAATAATTATTTATAATCGTCATTTTACTAGCTGAATTTTTTTAGTCATTAATTTACTATTGTTGCATATTAGCATCAACTGGGATATGTATAATTAATCATAATAAAGTAAAATTGTTATAAAATAATGATTTGAGTTTTTGTTTAGCTTATAGAGTTAAAAGCTGATGGTATGCCTAAGTTATAGTCAAGAAGTCAATGGGCATCTACTTGATGATATTGGAATAACATTTTGGTTTAAGAAAACCGGAGTGAAAATATTTTAGAAATGTTTAAGACTTTATGTTTTATGTTTATAATTTTTTTTTACTCTCCAATTTGGGGCAGTAGCATATTTGCAAGAGTAGATTATGCAGATAGATCTAACCCTATATGGTCTTTAATTTTTATGTCCTTTTTATAGGAGAATGTCTGATAATTATACTTTATAGTTAGGTACATTTGTTTTCAATAAAAATACTATTTTATATTATTTGTGTTATACTCCCTACATAAATTGTAAATACGCCATTGATTTAATGTGCTGCGAAGAATTGAGAACTGAATGAGTTAGAAGTTAGCTTGTATGAAAGCAAAATATAACCAGCTGTTATCATCTATTTTATTTATTTTTTTTATAATTTATTTTGTTATCTGCAAAATTAATATTAGAAGAGAAAAATAATTGAACGATTTTTCTATATTGATAACATTTACCTTCACCACAAAAAAATCTTAATAAATATTGAATACCTACACTTTTTATTAGATCTGATCCTTCTACAATTAATTTTCTATACATTTTAATATTTTCCATTTATTAGCTTACATTGTTATTATTTTATAATTTTTGTAATGCTTTTAAATATATTTTTATTTGTTTGGTCTCAATAAAATAAGTATTAAGTACTTTATATTTTTATAATTGTATAAATTAACCTTTTTTAATTATTTTTGTAAAAATATTACACGAGAAATTGTTACCACAGCTTAATATAAAAAATTATTACCAAAAGAGGATGTCTAACACATAAATTTAATAGTTTTGTCACTAAGTTGTAATTATGCATTAGGTATGGTATTATTATTATTGTTATTGGACTGGCGATAGAACTTTTACTTTCTGTATTATAACCCAAAATTCTAAATAATTGATTAAAATAAAATATTGCACACTTCATAAACTAAGAATCTTATTTAGGCTTTTGAGCGCTTTTTATTTAAATAATAAATCATATATGTATGTATATATAAGTACTTACCTAACCATTATTATGTTATTAATTATAATCTATGTGTTATAGGAATAGCACAACTACAAAATGGCCGATGGATATGTCCAAATAGTTATTGTGGTAGAACGTATAAAAAGAAGTTTTCATTGTATCGTCATTGTCGACAAGAGTGTGGTGTTGAGCCTCAATATCGGTGTTCATTTTGTGTGAAAACATTTAAACGTAAAGAATCACTCAAATCACACTGTATAATAGTTCATGACTTTTGTAACTTTAATACCTTACAATTAAAACAACATAAAAATTCCATTTAAAATTCACCGATGTACTTGGTAGTCTTACAAGCACCAAAAACCCAACAATCCCTTCCAATATAACAAAACTTGTTCAAGAAAAAACTTCTAATTTTGAGTGAAAGGAATAGCATTTTTGATATTAGTATTGGTATCCAGATGCAGTGGTATAGACGGTAAATAAGCTAATCATGAAATATCCAATACGGCTTTCTCTACTTTTACCTACTCTTAAATATAATAAATACTTACGCCGACACAAAAAACACTAACAAAATGTACTACAAAAATGGCAGAAAACTGAAAAACTAAAATACCAAATCAATTGCAATAAAAATCAATACACAAATATGGTACATCCTAAATCTAAAAAGGAAGGATGAAACTAAAATGAACCACGTATGAATAAGACTCACATTCCTAAAACTACCTTGGGAATAAAAGCAAACCACCTATCAATGAATAATGTGTAGTAAATAACAATGAAACACATCGTTAATACCAAAGGCTGCAAACATGATGATACAAGAAATAAATACTTTATCCACAGTAAATCGAGCAAACTATTACCAGATCTACTATCAAAAATAAATATAATTAATTTTCTTAAAGAAACAAAACTATACAATTCTAATTTATTTAAGTTGTATAACTCGAGAAAAAAAAATTGTAAATAATGTACTTAAACCAACTTTGTAAATATTATATTCGTATTATATTAGGTACTAATGGACTCTTCTGATGTTTTACATATCAATAAAATATAATTTAAATTTAAAGACTGAAATGTAATTATTAATTCAAATCATTTTTAAAACAAAACATGTTCTTGTTGACTCCTTACATTACTTTAGTAAGTGTATGACATTTAAAATAAAATAAAAGTATATTATTGGTCATAAATCTTAGATTTTTTTTAGGTTATTATTTCTTGTATTTTAGAATAAAATAAAATTACTAATAAATGTGCTCATTACACTGTTATTAATTAATTTAAATTTCTTGATATTTTCAAATGTTAGTTTGATATGACTTCAAAGCATGTTCTGTTAGTTTTAATTATGAGAGCTGTTGGAGCTACATTTATTTTCTATATCTTTAATATATAATTGTTTTAAATGTTTATTGTTGTGTTGATAGAGGTTTATAACATAAATTATATATATCTATATTATCACCGTGTACGCTGTGGACTATAGAGTTCTATATATTTGTTTTAATAAATATAAATATTAACTATTTTAAAAATTATCTGATTAATTATAATGTATTATA